TTTATTGAAGTTTAAGGATGTACCATTAACGATAAATAAATCAGTACCAAAAATTGACCCTGGACAGTTCTTTACAAGCCTTGCTAACAATATGCGTTCAAGACTTTTCACAACTCAAGCAACGCATGTATCAAAAAATAAAAATGAATTTAAAGATCAATTTGAAAATATTCTTAAAGATTTGAATGTATTAGATCCCAATAACTGGCCAGATAATATTGATATCCAATATGGTGACGATAGCATTAGAAGACTGGCAAATAAGTTTCACTTAAATGAAGTATCCACAATTCGAGGATTTAGAGAATTTAAAGACTTGAAAGATTCCTCAAAAATACCAACATTAAACCCACTTTTAACTGCAATTTCAACTATTGCTGTATCTTCATCTGAATGTGAAAGATCATTTAGTTCCATGAACAACATAATAACGCCTAAAAGAAACGTACTAACTTCTGAACACATAGCATCATTAGTGTTTATTAGTTGTGTTGGACCACCTGTTCAATTGTTTAAACCAGACCACTATGTAAAAAGTTGGATTAAAACGGGTAAAAGAAGTGCAGAAGAAACAAGATGTCCAAAACGAGACGAACATGACATAGATCATTCCTATAAACATTTATGGGCATATTTAAATTTATAAAACAAATAACAATTATTATTATGTATTTTACAATATTTTATTTTTAATTTTTAAATAAAAATGAATATTTGTTTATTGTTGTATGGTGTAAAATGTCATTGTAGTGGGGGGGACATATGCTACCACTTAATAGTAAGACACTAAGACATTTAAATGTTCGGGGACGCACATATCTTTTATACTTTTGCATCCCCCTTCTATTTTTTTTCCAATTCAAGCACTGATTACAATACAATTTTGTATGCTTTGAAATGAGATAGTTGAAAAAGAATTAATTTTTTGTTTATATTTGCAATCATATTTTTTTCATATTAATTCAATTTTCATACTCACAATAATGGATATTCCTCAACAACTTTTGAATTTCTTGAATTATTAGGAGTGTCAGTCATGGCAGTATCTGTATAAAATATAAATGGAATATAAGTATGGGGTTAGTAAAAAATGACGATACAGCATAATTATTTGTCATATAATGAGATTAAATTTTTGAGAATAAAACACCTTGACTTAGTATTTCTACATTTCTCTCAAATGTAATAAAAAAAAAATGAGTAACACAATGATAGGATACTTATTGAAGGTTAATGTTATAGAGAAATCATATTCGAATTTATTGTTTAAATAATATAAAAGATTATTTTACAGATTGTACAATATCTCTAGATTAAAAAAAAATAATAATAAAAGAAATAATATATGATTTAAAATTGTTTACTAAAACTGAGTTCCTACATTCAACCATTTAATTACAAATAAATTAATGAAAGTATGACCTTTGTAAGTTATGTAATCTGGGCGATAAAACAAATATTATATTATATTTTCTACAAAGATACTGCAAACCCAGCACAAGAATTGTAATTTACCAAAATGTAATTTATTTATATTACATACATGTATCAGTACACAATTAAACAACATAAATACTAGACTTTTGAAATATAACACTCAAAATTGTTTAACAAAAGACAATTTCTTATAGGACTTTAATGTGTTAGTAAAGAACAGAGTAAATTTAAAATACTTTTCTTGGGAAAGGCACTAGTAAATTAAACATTTTACCATTGTACATCTCTTTTGAATAATCTTCAGTTATATTGTTTTTTAAGAACTCTATTTTTTTAGTATTTTTATGTTTGTATTCAGCTGTTACTTTTGACAACCCACGATCTTTAGCTGCCATCTAAAACAAGTTGTTCGACATTTAATTCTAAAATGATTAATTTGTAATAATAAATTGACAGATGTTAGCTTTAATACACAATTAATATTTATTTTGTCCCATAATAAATACACTGATAAATATAATGTTAATAAAAATAGGAAAAAGAAGATGCTAAATGTCAAGCTTTTAAAGTCAGACTCAAACAGCAATAGACAAACACTTCTATAATTAAAAAACAGAGAATTATGGATAACACATAAAACTATAAATACCTTAGATTTTTTATTCTTTTTTTTTATTTTTTTTAATGAACTTTTTAATCTACAACAATATAACATTTACTGATTAACTCTAAACTAATATTGAAAAAAAGCTATTCAAACATTTGAAAAATAACAATTAATATTATATTAAATTAGGTATATTTCCTACTCTGCAGTCTTCACTTATTTACAATCATTTGACAATGAAAAGTAATTGTATGACACACACTTCGGTTTATTCTATTATACTTACGAAACATTAACATAGTCTGTGTCTGTGCAAGTAGCAGTCAAATCTAGAATAAATTTCATTATTCATTCACATTTGATAATAAACACTAATTTTGAATATAAATTGTATATAAATACTGACTGTTGTGAGTATTTTGCTGGGTATCGTTAAAATCTTCAACGCCATCATTTGTTTCATTATAATGTCTTTTTACTGTATGGACCAAAGTGTTATCATATCTCATTTTATTTTGAACCTACAATAAACAAAAAATTCTTATGTACTTTATTTATATTCCAATGAAGGTAAAGAAAATAATTATAACCTTATGATTTTTTTTTTTCTTAATTTTTACTCCCAGCTTCTTTAGCCTACTAAAAAAAAACAAATATTTTAGGAAATAAAATGTAATAACCTTATCTTATGTTAGTATGTTATTTTGTCATACAAGGTGCAAAATATATATTAAATAGTAATAATATAAATTTTACTTAAGGGCGGATGTGATATGTTCTTATTAAAGGTATGACAATTAATCACATATACACATACACGTTAGTAACAGACAACATATTTTAGACATAACATGATTAATTGAGTATCTTCAATTTATTTGAAGAATATCTTTGAAGACTATTAACTTAGTTTCAATTTCATAGATACTTACTACATCAATTCTTTATCAACTTCTGAAGAATTCACAAGAGGAATACAAATCTTCAGTTCTTCTAAACATTTAAATTAAGATATTAATCAAATTATATGAATCAAGAACAATAAAAACAAGAAAACGGACCTTTGCTTGAATTGGAATCCTCTGTTTTATCTATATCCAAATACTTGTCCTTGATGTCGTGTTTCTTAAAATAAAGTTTCTTATTTGGTGATATTGTGGTAAAATGAGTTATTGTCTAAAATAATTAATTTTAATTTATTTAGAAACACTTTATTAGTATATTATTACAATTAAATTCTATACAACTACAGTCGATACCATCTAAAACAACACCGGTCATAACTACATAAAGTGTATAACAACGTTAATTTCTAGGCAAAATTCCATTTTTATTTATATTATAGTATAGAGTGTTTCATTAAGAACGCCAAATTTAATTTTTGTTTTTTGTATTGGCTGACCGACCGGCTTCTTTAATCATTGTTAACTATAAACTCTCCGCAATAAATCAAAGTAAAGGTTTTAACGATAACATTTTGTTTTATTAATTTATTTTGATTGTTTTTAACGTTCTGTTTGTAACCATGGGACGACTCAGTGCAAGATATCAAAACTCCTATGAGCCAACGCAGTCGCAGATCACTTTTGAATCAAGAAATGGTTTTTGACAGTGTTTTGACCAGTCCAACGACATCTCCTCATAGACGATACAATTTTTTTTAATAAAGTTATAACAATATTAAATCCAGGGTGCTTAATGAAACACCATATATACAGAAAATCAAATTTGGTTATAACAACGTATTTTTAAGGTTATTATAGATGACATGTATTTTTTTAAAAGGAGTGCATTTTACATACATTGCATGTCAATGTATTATCAGCAGTATAAGTAGATTCGATTCCACTATTAATCGAGAGCTGTAGTAAAAATAAATAAATAAATAAGTTTCATGTGCGATGTGTCTATGTATTTTTTAATTATTGTTAAAAACCTACCTTCAATTTTTTCTTTTTCATTCTTTTTACCATCTTATTGAATCTACAAAATAAAAATGTCAACAACATAATATAGCATAAGTATACAGTTAAATTAAACTATAATTTACATAATACATATTCAACAAAAGTCAAAATCATAACTATTTAAAGTAACAAACAATTTTCAATTGAATACACTACATGTCTACATTATAATTTCATACAACGAAATACAAAATACAATGCTAAAAAAAAGTAAAAACCCATAGTTTTGTATTTAATTTATACACACAACTATTTTTAAATTAATATATATACTCACAATAATGTAAAATCTTTGTCATTTATTGAATTTTCTGAAATAATGTTAGTAGTTATAGCACCTGCAATAAAAAATCAAATTAAGTAAAAATATTTAGAAAAAAAATGTACTTACTTACTATGCCCATAATAATAAATACATTGTATAAATAATCTAATAATTCAAAAGAAAAACGTCCCATTACTTTTCGGTAAAATAAATATAAAATAGTGAGTTTATTTATTGATATAATATTTAAAAACTTAATAAACAAAAAATGGAATAATAATTAATACATTGCATAAATATAAAATATGATGTTATAATATTATCAATAACTATAATTTTAACAATAAAAATGTTTGGGCTTTCTACGATTCCCCATATTCCAATAGATTATTTATACAATATTATTTTATATTCAGATATAAATGTATTTATTATAATGGGTAGTTAATAAAATGGAGAGATAACAGACCTAAGTTGCATGGCTACAACAAGTCAGTACCCAAATATTTTTATAAAATGTCTAAAATTATTAATAACAATTTTTCCAATTAATGCTATGATTAAATGTCAACTAAATTAATTGTTTACTCATTAACCATTTCTATGTTCTAAAATTCTAGTTACATAATATTTCAAATATATAAATGTATGTACCTAACACATTTTTAGTTATTTAACTACAAACTAAAGACACTCTTTTCATGTATTCATTCAAGGAAAGCTAATTCTCAAGTCCTTCTCAAGCAGTACTTTGAAATATTCATTAATATAATGTCAAAATTTGGTAAAACATACATCTGGTACAAATACAATGAAAACATTTGAAAATTTACCTTTGGGTTTTTTTTCTTTCTTGAGTTTTCCGACTTTATGTTTTGAAATGTTTGTTATTGTCACTAAACCTTCTGTTATTGCAGTCATTTTTCTTTATTCTACAAACTATAATCAATTATTTACACATAAATGTTTAATACACTAATAGATTTATGCTAACTTACAACGAGGTCAAAGTAATGTAGTTAACATTCGCAAATCAATTAGTGTTTTTGCCAATAAATAACAAAAAAATTATTGTTGTATATTTAAAAACGTGAATTATATAAAATAGCAATACTCAAATACTGCTTGCAGACATGAAGTTACAGTTTTAAATTCAAAATTTAAAAATAGATAAGCATACTTTGTAAATAATATGCTATCTAATATCTACTTTCTTGAAATATTGATAAAATAAGGGAAGTGATAATGTGATATACCCATAGACTACGATTATAAAGAACTTAGATATAAAATAAATACAAATTTATAAATTATCCTAAATTATGCTATTTAATAGTTTAATACTATATATATTATATGATTGTTCTAATAAAGTAGTTAATAAATATTGTACCAATCGTACCCATTTATTCATAATTCCAACTTAAAACTTTTTAACGCCACAGGGCACAGAATAAATGACATTTTAAAATTATTTTAGTCACAGATATGGGCTAAGATATATATATATATACATATGGTCACAGACTAAATGAAATTTAAATTATTCTGTGATATCACAGCATATCTAAGCACTGTCTGTCTATCTCGTTTGATATTTGCGCATGCGCAAAAGTATGGAACAACAAGTGCAGGGCCACCGAAGTTTATAGATAATAAATAATTATCTAATATCTATAAGCCTTGCAGCGCCACCATTTTTTGGCTTTTACTAAACAACTCTGTGCTTTTACCTCGAAAACTTCCACTATGGCACTATCTCTTTTCTATGACTGGGCCACTGTGCAATTGCACATTGAGCCGGTGTCATATGATGTACCCCAAGCTGGTACAAAATAATCCACATGGTATAGTATTATTATCGTTGACGATTTCTTAGGACCTCTTCTATTAATCTGTTTAGAACTCCTTTATGGTAGACCAACATAGTCCACTTCGCTCAACTCAACCTTAAATGCTTATAAGTTATAACTTAAAACTATTAGAGTCCGTACTTAAATGCAAAATTCATTATTTTTCGGAAAGTTCCCGCCAATGCTTTTCAAGTACAAAATTCCTTTCATACTCGTTTAATCTTTTATCTATCACTCGTACATCAAAGAATTTAAAACTATTTAACTTTTATTTTGCATTTTTATTAGTTTCGGTGTTTTTTGAGCAATAATTACGATTTTCAAGTAATTCTTAGTGCACATTAATACATGATTTATGTACAGATTTTTATATTTAATTTAATTGGGAATTTCAAAAATGTTGTTGCGACCATTCATTATAATATGTTGATCGTACTATTTATGATATTTATAAACTTATCACTTACAACTAATTGATTAGCCGGTGTTACGCATCGTAATCGCATTTAAATCGTTAAGTTCCTATTTTTGTTCATACTCAAGAAATGTTAAAACAATTTTTCGGTCATTTTTAAGGGCATTGTTGCAGTTAAAATTCATTTTTTAGGGCAATATACTCTAGGTATCATCTATGGTTAATGATTTTAAGTACAATATAAATAACAAACAATTAACATTGCCTCAAATAAATTTTAATTTTAAAAACATTTATCACCTGTTTATTAACTTATTATGATTATTAGTAATTAACCAAAATTCAAAAATAAAGTACCAAATTCTGAAAATGTAGGTTGTAATAGTATAGTGCCGATTTCTTTTCAATAATAGTGGGCCGAATGGGTCTCAGTCCGTCCCTGACTATGCGTCTATGCTCCGGGTATAGATAATCATGTATAGTATAATCTATATAATATAGTCGGCGACTGAACTAAATACTATATAAAACATATGTATTTAATGTTAACTTTATACATTAATGTTCAGTGGTATAAGATACCAAGATGAAATAATATGCGACATTTCTCTTCACTCTTGCGTACGTCTGCTGCAACTCTGCAAGCATCTCAGTCAGAGTTAGTTGCAAACATGTGCGTCAAGTTATTGGAACGTAGGATCCGATCCATGGTTGGTACTAGGTAGTGTAGACCTACACAATTTAAGTATCGAACCAACAGTTACCCATCACCCGAACAAGTTTAAATCCTTTACAGCATAATCACTTTAATAGTAAACTTCAACTATTTTAAATACTATTAACTATTTTGGAAAGTGTATGATAATTGATAAGTATGCCTAGGTAACTAATTTTAAAAATTATTTATGCATGACTTATTTGTTCACCTGTCACCATTATATTAGTAAGTACTTTGACTTATGATTTCTAAATTGCTTTCTATATTTCTCATTTAATGATTGAAAGAAAGGTACATTTTCAATATTGGATATTAAAATAAAAAATAGTGAATAAATAGTTTTTTAATCTTAAGCAGTAACAATTTTAAATTTTAATAAATTAAAGTTACATTACAAGGGGTCTTTTCTTAACTCTATATTTTTTTTTCATTCATGTTAGCAAACCAAAAAAACATTTGCTACAAAAACTGAGCCTTATTTACTATTCATAAGATATCTTATTACTTACCAAATTGTGTATACATGTAAATTGTTCAACAGGTAATTTATTGTGATAAAACCTGTAGAATATTATCTTATGAGGGGCCATAAATATGAATTCACAATGTTTTCAAAACTTAAAATTTAGCCTGGTATGGATCACATTACATATTCTAAAAATCAATTGTATGTTAAGTTAGGATGAGTAGATTGCCATTGTGTGTACTTGAAAACTGGAATGCTAATACTTCTGATCTGATGATGCAAGGCTTTAATAAATAATAATAATGGTAAATATTAATCTGACCAATATTGTTCTGTATACACAATGGAAGGAACCTAAAAGGATACTAAAAAACCGTTTTTTTTTTCACCTCATTAATTTTCATGAAGTTGAATATTATTTTTTTTTTTAATGAGGAACCATTTTAAATTTTAGTTTGTGACTAGTCAAAAACTTGTTTTAACCAGGTATCTAAAATCTAGATTATTAAAATATTTGTCTATTCATATTTAAATTCTTAGATTTTAACATAAGGTATAAAAAGTTGTAAGTACTAATTAATTTTCATAACAGATACAAGATTATTACATTTAATATATCATTATTTAGAATGTAATAAAACTTATTTTATTATCAAGTCATGGAATTGTTTACAAAAATATCCATTGTATTATATACACAAAAAAAATATATTTAATTGTGCAAAAGTAATTATTTAAAACACAAGAAATTAAATGTTGATCTTCGTAAAAATTTTTTGTATCAAAATAAATATTTACAATTTAAAATTAAGAAAACTTCTTAATTCCTTAAAATAAGTTTTGCATTCAATCTGCATTGGACTCCTCGTTTGGATTGTCTTCAGCAAGACTATCATCATCTCCAGAATCTGTGCTATGTTCATGTAAAAGCACATATTCTCTAGAACTGAACCCAAACTTAACAACGTCTTTCTCCATCAATTCCACATATTTTTTGGAATCTATACGCTGATTATTAACATAAGTGCCATTAGCTGACTCTAAATCAATAATATATGGCCGAATACATCTGATATGGCGCCCATCTTTTTTGGCTGAAACTAACCTGTATTGAAGAGCAGCGTGCTGTTTTGAGCACGACGGATGATCTATTGGTATGTCTGCCACTTTACGATCACGTCCGAGTAAATACCCACTTTGTCTGTGTATGTGTAGTACAGGTAATTGTTTCTCTCCTTTGAATGGGTATAATCGCCAGTGTCGTTTTGGTTTTCTCGCCTCAGCTGGTTCACTATACTTTATAACTACACCATTAAAAGTATTTGTATCCTCAGCTAACTTGCCAGTAGTTTCAAAATTTGGTTCTTCTTTTTTCACTACAGGTTTCTTTTCACAAGACGAGTCATTAGTGCCCCATACGTGATCAACATCTGACTTGCCTTGATGTCTTGAGTTGTCTCTGCGATCATGCCTTGGTCTTTTTCTACGAGCATCGTCTTCAGAGTTTGAATTGTGTCTTCGGTGTTGTCGTTCATGGGATTTATTGTAGTCACGATACTTGTGCGGCTTTCGACGATCAAAATTATCTTTTCTAAAATAAAATAAGTTCAAAATGATTAATTGTCATGTTAAAGTGTATTATTAAATTTTGAACATTTGAGGGCTACATAAAAAACAGTTGAATAATTATTAACAAAGCCTCATAGCAAGGCCCAAGATGACTAAAAACTAAACTTTTTATTCAACAAAAATCGCCAAGATACAAATGTAATTAAAAGTTTGAAATTTGTTAGGCTAACCGTCATAACTGTCATGTTGACTGGTAATGTAAAGTATGTCAAGAGGTTCAATGTACATCTTTCATCATTCATTATCTCATTTAAGTGAAAAGTAAAGTAAGAATACATTTTTTTTTTTAAATAGGGGAACAAAAAAGATTATTTGTAATGTAAAGAGTGTATTAAGTACCTATAAACCTAACCTATAAGAAATAAATAATATTTATTGTAAAAACTATGAACTAAGATATACTAAGGTATAGTATATCTTAGCTAGGGGTAAGAATACCAAAAAATGAAGAAGTCATACAAAATGATACAAACTACAAACAAATATTTAAGATTATATTATTACTAAGTCAGACACACAAAAATGTTGATGGACGAAACACAATATTCATTATCACAAATTGTTCATATGTGCCATATCTTATTTATAAGTCAGTCAATTCTCAGATGATTGGTTTACCCTATAGATTCCGATTTGTAATAATAATAGTGATTATTTTAGACATATTATATTGACTAAATGTATGAGCAATGTGCATATCTAATTACTACCTAAAATATACAATTTTAATTTAGTTAGATACCTATATAGTAGTAAATAAATAATAGGTGGGTAATGCAAAATGATTTTTAATGAACAGATTTCCAAATTTCTATTATAATAACAGTCAGTCGTGAATTTGATTTTCAAATATTATTTATTTGTATAATTTTGATATCTGACATCTGGACACCGATTTAAAGATAGTTGTCTATTAATCGCTTTAAAAAAAAACAACGATGCAGGTTCAAACATTGATCACGAACGACGTTATAATCTCAATAGTTAACTGTCAAGGGAAAAATTAATATTTGATATTGGAATTCGGAAGGCCACAGATAATCATCATTCATCACATACAACAATGTTCTCCAATATATATCTGCACTCAAATCACAAAAATAAAAGTTATATCCAGGAGAAGTCCAACCTCCATTCCCACTCAGTGTTTTCAAGAATACTTTCTGTGATACTGGTCATGCAAGAATAAATTGAATTAATTGTATTCTATGGGTATAGTTATAATTTATTTTGTATACATGATAAATGTAGACAATATATGATAAGTATTTATGAACAATTATAGTTTTTGAGCTAATTAAATTTTTTGTGAGAAATTTTTGATGTGATATATTTTAGTTGGTTTGGTATTTTCCCATTGTTTGCCAAGTTTTGGTTATTACTATTAAACTTATAATCTATTTAAGAAGGTGGGTAACATATTATTATTTTTTACATCATGTAACTTATCATTATTGAATTTCCATGTAAAAAAAAAAACTATTTGAAAAAGTATTAAATGGTAGAAACAATATAATTAATTACTCATCACAAATATGCTTTCAAAACATTAAAAATTAGTAGTACAGAGCTAAAAATCACTCTTGTTAATAATTATAATTGTATATGATAATAAATGTTCTCACTTGGTGAAAATAAAATAAATGGTCATAATTGTTATTTTAGTATATTAGAATACAAAAATAAAAACACATAATTTTTAACAAAAAATAATTTGTTAAAATGTATAAATTAGTAATATTTGAACATAATTTAATGTATGCTATACACAAATAATTTTTCCATAAAAATTTGGATACAAAAGAAAACAAGTTGGTATTGGTATAATAAATATAAACAAGTTAAATATAATTTCATCAATAATATGTCTTAATAAATGCACACTTATATGAAAAATATTGCTTCTTATTAAATAACTCGTTAATACTAGTAAATAATTAACATTTAAAAGGTAATTATTATCACAACAATTGAATCACCAAATTCCATAAGCACTAAGTGCCTATTGATACTGGTATTATACTACTCATATTATTTTTTGTCATTTTCAGCTAACACGGGGTAAGCTAGTGTAGTAGTCAGTGAATCATTATGTTCTTCTAAGGAAGTTTGAGAATAATGCATGACTAGATCTTTTAGAGAAGAATATATATTGTAAGGTTCAGCAAAACCAAATCCTTTTGGCGTTCTGTACACTATACAGTGATTTACAACTCCATTGCAAACTATAGATAATGCTGATTGCCCTGTACGACTGGGTCGTATCAAAAATGTTCCATTGCGCTTGCCATTTAATATACGCTCAGCATCTACACGTGAACAGGGTTGCAACAGCCAAGTACCCTCATCTAAATGAGACAGGTTCTGAGGTAGTTGAATATCTTCAGGCTTACAAGTATTCCAATCAGTGCCGTTTAACACTCGATGAATAGCTTCATAAGCCACACCATGGGTCATTAACCATCGAACTGATTTATCTTTTTGACGTGTGAGTATTGCACCTTCTTGTTTTAATTTATACATTTTCCGCTCCAATGTCTGACTATAGGCCACTTGTCTGAAAACAAAATAACTACTGTTAACAAATATTATAATATATGTTTAAAAATAAAACTTACGTGTATAATTTCTCCTCAAGTACTGCTTTGCTGTGCAGCAGTAACTTAATTCGTTTTTTTACTATTTCAATATTTTTAACTAGATTATCAGCTTCATGGCGTTCAGCTTTCTTAAGAAATTTATCATGTACTCTTAGCTGATCTTCAAACATTCTATTCACTTCCTGATACTGCTGCAGTCCCATACGCATCACCGATATATCGGTAGTTGCAGCCTGAAATTCTTTAGACAATTCTTCATATGAAATGGATTTTTTCAAAATATCTTTAAGTAGTTCGATTAAACGCATCCATACAACATCTACATTTAAACTTTTCCAAGTACCAAACTCTTCATCTTGTTGAAATCTGGACACAGGGTACAATAATTTTACATCTAATGTTGCATTATATTGTGACAAGGAAACTTTACGATAATGGTTTACAAGATCAATAACAGAAGAAAAATTGTAAGGTTCTGAAAAACCAAATTTATCATTTTTGTGATATATTTTTATTAACTTATTGGTTCCTCCTTTCCTTAATGTCAACGTATACTCTCCAACCTTATTTGATGCATTTCGAACCAGAAACGTACCATCAGGCATGTCTGTAAGTTTTTCCTGTACATCATCTCTGGTTATGTCGCCCCAATACCATTCTGCTTCTTCAATGCAACTGGGCTCTAGTAATGGATTTTGCAGTCTGGTTGCAATTGATTCGACAGATTGAGGGGGGTTAGTTTGTGATAGTTTACGAGGTGGTAGAGCCGGTGCGTCTGTAGGAGACATGATGCTCCATGACTCATCATGGGCTTTTACCATAATCTGTTACAATTAATTGTCAACGAACAGCAGGATTTCTGAAATAAAAAATAACATATCTATATATTAATATATAAAAATAACAGTTTGATTGAAAAATTGAAGCATGATTATTGAAGTTTTTTAAAAATACAGATATTATTACTATTTAAAATATGGTGAAAAAATGAATTACCCTTATTGTTTTAATATAATTTAATAAAGTATAACCTCACATAAAAGTTTAGTTTAATCAACACTTACCAGGAGCGTTTATGCTTACTACATCGGCGTTAACTAAATAACTTTCATCAATTTTTTTTTTTTCAAAATGTAATTAGAAATTTGAAATTGCCATCAAATTCTAGAAAATTACACGTATAAAAATGTATACATTATTTTTTTTAATTTACAGTAAAATATTAAAAACTGATTTGATATTGATGTTTTCACACTTTTTAATGAGAAATCACTTGCATACACAACAAATAATGTAAATTAACAATAATAATGGTATAATAATAAAAAAAATAATTACATTTTCAATATTTTTATTTTAATATACATTTAGTTAGGTACAGCTAGGACACTTGAAGAATTGTATTTTGGTAATATAATAATTTCCACAAGGTTGAATTTTTAGGTACATAGTACCGATGCATAAACAAAAACACTCCATTTTTTAAAGGCACCTAATCCCTAGTCGTTAAGTATACATTAATAATCTAAAAAAAAATATGAAACATTTATCTATTTATTTATATATACCTAATTATTTCATGTTATAATTATGTATAAATAAATAGAAGTAGAATTAAATAAGATTCTTATTAATAGTAGGATTATTCTATCATCAGCTAGATGTCGTTTAAATTAACAAACAATGAAAACGACTAATGAGAATACCTAGTTATGTAAAAGCCTAATGTAAATACCTTGCAGGATATTCTATTTATAATAAAATCAAACATTATATTTGTAAAAATAAATAATAATAATTAAGAGAATACAATCAATTTTGCACCATACTTGATAATACAAAATAATATTTGCTAGCACATAAATTAATATTGATTTAAAACCAAACCTACATAAGTCATAATATTAAAATTAATTTATCATTAATCCTATTTAGTGATTATACTACTATCAATAAATAGTCTGGAAGAATGGTAATTTTGAAAAATAGTATTTTTGATACTAAATACACATCATTTGCTTGCAATTTTAATAAAATCACGTCAATTGGTTTAATGTATGTACTATTATAAAAGCCATGTATGTAAGTAACCAATTTAAATAGTTTTATTTACTTGACATACACACATTTATTTTGGTTTGTAATATATATATTAATTTTGCCCACAAAAGAAGGAACCCTTGACTTGATAAAAACTCATCCTAGTTTGTGTATCACTGTCCTTCACTGCCTAGTTCTACGACCGACACGCTGTTAACCAACTACAGATCAGTCACAATCGATAATAGTCAACTATCCAGGAATATCTGAGTAGGGGAAATAGGTCCCCAAAATGTTTATCAACAGTTAGTTTATACAAAAAACAAGTTTACTCTTTCTCTTAGCCACCCTTGTTACATACTACATGCCATTATAAACAACCAAGTTAATAAGTATAGTAACAGTATCAAGGAAGCTAAATATACAATTATATTTAACTATAAATCAACCTGTAATTAATGTATTGTGTTAAAACATGGAAAATACAGGGTTTTCATAGGTTACAGAAAAAAATGGTAAAGACTAACCAATCAACCATGTGATGCTATGGGATTTTTTTAAAATAATTCAGTCGTTCAAATACATAACAATATACAATATTATACATGCCTATGTTTTAGCTTATAAACTAAAAAAAATACTCAACCAATTTTCATGAAAGTTTTAGAGATATCAAGAGGGATTAAAGAGTAGTTTGAACCAAATTTGAAAATATACCAAATGCTATGTTTAATCTTCAGCCACAGGCTGGTGGCCAATATTGGCTAAATTAATTCACAAAGTGAGGTGTACCAAAGCCGATTTGCTGTGAAATTAGGTATACTAAAAGTCTAGAACATATACCTGAGATACACCTGAGGATATATCGGGATACATTAATAGGTATAGCACTATAATGTTTGTACATTTTTGCACAACGAAGTCAGTATTTACAGTCAGTATAATATAATAACTTACTTTAATATACTTATATAAGCTACTAACTTAAATTTCCTAGGTATTAAAAAAACATTAAAATCGCCTAAATCTCAAGAAATTGTAATTTTTTAGCAATTATAAATATTATCAACCTGGCATGAATTACTATTAAAATTAAATATTTGTAAGCAAAAAACACTTTAGATACCTACCTAGATATAAGACAAGATTTTACAAATCAATTCACTTATTTTAAAACAAATAACAAACTGAAAAACATGATTGTTGCAAAAAATCAAGCAATTCGTGTTTTTTGATCATAATTTTAAATTCAGTAAGAGACATTACTTTAAAATAGTTAGGTACCATCAAATAAAACATGCAAAAACACATTTTGAACAAAAAATCTCTTGGAAGCTAAACTGCATTTATGCCAGTAAAATTTGCCACATAATTAATAACTAATAGATAGTTATTTGTATAATAAAAGTCAACATTATGAAATAACTGATTAATAGATAGACAATCCCAAACAATGTCTATGGTTTAAGTATAACTGTCTTTTAATTAGTGCAAATTATGCAAAACCCACAAAAACAATGTTACACATTATAATTAAAGGAAACTTAAAATACAGCACAACTCTCATTAATTCATATGAAACATTCAAAACCAACCTTTTATCAGAGTTTAGGGGGTAGACATGCAAATTGCACATATACCAAGGCAAATTTTTGAATTGAATGTATGTGCCTAGTAAGTAGTAACACCTAGTGTTAAAATGAAAGGAATAATCAAAATGTTGGAAACTCACACAGTTGCCAGAAGGCAAGAAATCTAACGACAATGTACGCAAATGAAAAAAAAACTAAGTATCAGTTTGATCAACGACAGGTACCAAAATGTAAACGATTTCACAACAGGTACACCTACAACAGTTGGTAGGTATATAGAGAGATATCTACAAATTACATATTATAACTTTATCTAAATAATATTGTTTTGATTGACACTCACTCTTCGTGCCTTTTCGATGTTTGTTTCTGTTTTCTTTTCTCTGTGTCTACACGCCCGACCATGGTCGGTACCATAATATACGCCCGACTATTTGCAATCTTACTCCTGCAATCTTATAACAATAAGTTACAAATAATTATATTATAACAATATGCACTTCAGACACCGCGGACTAAGAAATGAGAATTAACTCAATTAAGATAATAATAATGTGATGGTCTGGAAGACGTCTGGAAACGAATTGCCGATGGGTGATGATCGACGGGGGAGTGGAGACGGCCCAGTGCTGCCAAACATGGTAAATACTAAATGATAGTTCATCCAGCATTTTTATGACACAAATAATACTACAATAAGATAAAATGCGTTGTATATCGGGGCAATTTATACCTCGGCCACACAGAATCTTTAAGGCCATGGTTTACAACCCTTCGTCAGTTCGTTTTTTCGATGGTATATCATGGTACTTTTTGAGTTTTTCCACAGTATATTCCGTGGTTTTTCTATTACGATATCGCTTATCACACGTTATCGCTTATCATCCATATCATTATATAGATAATAAATAATAAATAATAAATATTATATTTTAGATATAGAATGTTGTTAGCTGTTAGTACGATTCTTTAATATTTGAACTAATAAGTTGTAATGTCCGAATTCAAAGTACCGCACAAGGTAATATTGACTTAAACATCATTGTTTTTGAAATACTATTATGATAATTTAATTTTTTTTAAATTTTAACTATTGCACAGTTACCTTTATTTAATTTGTATTATTTGCTTCAGCGGTATCGAAGGGACAATGATGCAGAATCCAATTCCGATGATGATTATGTGCCATATGTGCCCGTCAGAGAACGGAAAAAACAAGAGTTACTCAAATTGGGTAGACTATCAAAGGTAATATTATATTTTAATTGTATATTATTTTAAATAGGCTATTCAGTAATTTAAATCGGTAGTATTTAAAATGTTTTTTAGCTTAAAGAAGAGTCTGGAAAAGTTAAAACATCTAGTGAAGAATTAGATGATGATGAAAGTGAAGGACAAGTATGGGGTAGAAAATCAAATATTAGTCTTTTGGATCAACACACAGAACTTAAGAAACTTGCTGAAGGTAAGATTATTTATTTTTACTAAATTTTATACAAAAATATTCCGTTATATATAATTCCTATGTGTTTTGTAAATTAAAGCGAAAAAAGAAAGTGAAATGGAAAAACAATTAAAAGAAGAAGAAAAAATTTTGGAAAGTGTTGCTGAAAAAAAAGCCTTGATGGGTGTTGCAGAGTTGGCTAAAGGCATTCAATATGATGATCCAATTAAAACAAGGTTACAATAAACATTAGTTAGAATAACATTAAAATGCTATTTATTTTAAAACATTGTTGCATTAGTGTTATTTTTTCATTCCAGTTGGACACCTCCTCGGTATATTTTAGCTATGCCTGAAGAACGCCACGAAAATGTACGCCTAAAATTACGTATACTGGTTGAAGGTGAAGAAATTCCTCCTCCTCTTAAATCATTTAGAGAAATGAAATTAAACAAGGGTATTATGGCTGGACTTTCACAAAAAGGCATAAAAAAACCAACACCAATTCAAGTCCAAGGAATTCCCACTGTGTATGGATTATACAAAACAAATTTGTCTAATGAAGTCATTATTAATTTATATTTTAATTTATATTTATTCAACAAAAAATGTTTATGTTATGTATAGATTATCTGGAAGAGATATGATTGGTATAGCCTTTACCGGTAGTGGTAAAACATTAGTTTTTGTATTGCCACTTTTGATGTTTTGTCTAGAACAAGAAATAAAATTACCATTCAAGCCTAATGAAGGACCTTATGGTATTAAATTTAATATTTTATGAATAAATTAATGAATAACGTTTGAACTGTTTTGTATTTTATAGGATTAATAATTTGTCCATCTAGAGAATTAGCAAAACAAACATTTGATATTATTAATCACTATATGACATTTCTGGAGCGATCCAACTACCCAACACTTAGATCATGTTTAGCTATAGGAGGCATACCCGTTTTTGAATCCCTTGATGTTATTAAAAGGTAATTTTGAAATAATCAGCTTTCATTTATTACGATTTTTATATCTATCTATATAAATAAATAAATATTATATTTGTTATTTTTATTTGCACTATTTAGAGGTGTCCACATAATGGTAGCAACTCCTGGACGACTAATGGATATGTTAGATAAGAAAATGATAAATTTGGAAGTTTGTCGGTTTGTTAATGCATTTAAATCTTAATTTTTTTTAAATATTTAAATTTATGAACATTAATATTATTTACTAGCTATCTCTGTATGGATGAAGCTGATAGAATGATTGACATGGGTTTTGAAGAAGATGTGAGAACAATATTTTCATTTTTTCAAGTAATATTATTTTTAATATTTATAAACATTATCTCAAACACTTTGATTATAGTAATTATATATTACCAATTTATATTTTAGGGTCAGCGACAAACATTGTTGTTTTCAGCCACTATGCCAAAAAAAATTCAAAATTTTGCTCGATCAGCCCTAGTTAAACCAATTACCATCAATGTTGGTAGAGCAGGTGCAGCATCTATGAATGTCATACAAGTAAATTTTAACTTTTTAATTCATCTTATTTTATCTAATAAATGTATATAATAATAGGAAGTAGAGTATGTTAAACAAGAAGCAAAAGTTGTTTATTTGCTAGAATGTTTAAAAAAAACTACCCCGCCAGTTTTAATTTTTGCTGAAAAGAAACAAGATGTTGATGCTATACACGAATATTTATTGCTTAAAGGAGTTGAAGCTGTGGCTATACACGGAGGAAAAGGTATAGTTAGTTTTAAATTTCTGGTTTAATCATTTATCATATTTGTACATCTGTGTGTTTAGATCAAGAGGAACGTTCAAAGTCTGTCGATGCGTTTAGGAAAGGCCAAAAAGATGTACTTGTTGCTACTGATGTAGCTTCAAAAGGATTAGATTTTGAAGAAATACAGCATGTTATCAACTATGATATGCCTGATGATGTAGAAAATTATGGTTTGTTATTAAAAACATAATAATATGTACTATAATAAGATTTTTATGTTCATTAACAAAGTTTTTACTTTTGAATTTAGTTCACAGAATTGGTAGAACTGGTCGTTCAGGTAAAACTGGTATAGCTACAACATTTATCAACAAAGCAAATGATGAATCTGTGCTATTAGATTTGAAGCATTTGTTAATAGAAGCTCGTCAAAATGTTCCATTATTTTTGTCTGAGTTGGAATCAGAAAATGAGAAATACTTGCAACTTGGAGGTTTGATTCTACTCTTTTTATTTATTTTTCTGGAGAGTGTATTAAAGTTGTTTTTATTGTTTTAGATGAAAGAGGTTGCAGTTATTGTGGTGGTTTAGGCCACAGAATTACAGATTGTCCTAAATTGGAAGCAATACAAACTAAACAAGCATCTAATATAGGCCGTAGGGATTATTTGGCAACTAGTGCAGCAGATTATTAGTCTTACAATTACATTAATATGATATGTATTATACTGACATTTTTACAAGATTGGTTTACTCAATAAAAATGTATTAAAATAAAAATCTTTTACATTATTAAACATTTTTTAATGTGCATGACTGAATCGATCTTTTATAAACAAAATTAAATTTTGATTTATGAAAATGTAAATTTAGACTGGACTTATTAATTATTAAATATTATTTTTGTAATGTAAATATTATGTAATAAATGATAATTCATTATAATATAGATTATAATTGAGTTTAATTTATAAAATTGGATTTTTATTTTGAGCTAAGTCTTATATTCTCGTATAATATTATGTCCATTGTTTACCTGTTTTCCCTCGAAAACTTTTGTCATCATTTATCACTAATTGATCATTTTTTTGTTTACGCATTTCGAGTCTTCGAAACGTTGAGTTAGTTTTTGACTTACAAACATAATAATATGTGGTAGAGTGCAGTATATTTATCTACATCATAATTCATTAAATACGAAACATTTAGTCCCATGATAGTCGTGTGAGCTGCTTAGCTGTGGCACACTAAGTCAATACAGCCTTTATTATCATTAATTTCTATTATAGCTTTTGAAAATGAATAATATGCTCATAAATTACTTCAGTTTTCAGAACACTCGAACTAATGACGATAATATTTTTCAAATGTTTCTTAAGTATAATAATAGCCAATATGTGAACTTCTGTCATGGGACATGTCAACACGTGAAAATATACAAAATGGAAAAATTTATCAAACCTTAATAATTATTTAAATATCCACATTTCCACATTCGACTTTTCAAGATCTTCTGAACTTTGAAACTCACAAGTTACCACCGTAATCAATTATCAACTGGACTATGGAGCCACAGACTTCTATACTACACTTTATAGAACTTTATCAAAATCTTTGACCGGAGCATCGAAGTTTATAAACTATAGCTATAATAGTATAGTTTTTATGGTCTAGCTGAGGAACCTCAGAAATATAGAATAATTCTATAAATTTAGATCTGGAGCCAATACCGACATTGTTATCATTTATCTAAATAAATATGATCTTTGATAACAGATGTAAGATAAAATATGTGATTATAAACATAAAACAAAAATAATAATATTATTATTACTTATTTTACTATTTTATCCACCAAAAGTCGAAAAGATCAAATTTAGTCAATATTTAGGCTTACTAATTTTACCTAACATACAATAACCAAGTATCCGCTTTTCTATTTCTATTTAATTTATTGTATTTTTATATCAAACATTCTCTAGTCATGAAACATAACCAGTAATGCTCGACGACCGACATTATTATAACATTTGAAAAATGACACAATATTTATTTGTGTTCACCATTTTGGCGTTGACTTATGTGTTTGGACATTGTTCTCTGGGAGACAGCTTTCCATCTTACAGAAATTGTGTTTTAGAATGTTCACAGAAACGATGCGACAAGGGTAAATCATTTAGTTTTAATTAAACACAATAATTGATTTGTATTATAACTGATCTTGTTATGGGTATTTAGATGGAGTAAGATACAAGAGAAGCTGTTGTCTTGTAGTTTTAGAAGTTTTTAAATGGAAATGTTCTGAAAACTGCAAATATGATTGCATGTGGCCGATGGTTGAAGGTTTGGTGGAACGTGATTGGCCAGTTCCTCAGTTTCATGGAAAGGTCATACATTGAAACTATCAAATAGAACAATATGTATTTGAAATTATAACTTGTATTATTTTTTAGTGGCCATTTAAAAGACTACTTGGTCTACAAGAACCTGCATCTGTAGCGTTTTCTTTATTAAATTTATTAACAAATTTGGTGATGTTCAACCGTTTCAAAGAACAAATTCGTTTCACTTTACCATCATGTAATATATGGTCTCTGTACACATTGGTAAATAACATTTTATTTACTAAATATTTAATAACATTTAACTACAAAAATGTCTTTGAATAAAAATATGAAGAATATCATTCTATTTTAATCTTTTTGTGGTAATGGACATGCAATATAAATTTTAAATTTAAATCATATGACCATTCCACAAATATGGTAATATATACTTTAAGTGAATAATAATTATAGGAGGCATAAGTGATTAGTGGCCAGTTCCATCAAAACATGTTAAAGGCCGCTTCAACAATATTGTGGTGCAATATTAATTGTAATATATCTACTGATTTTCATTTTAGTTAATAAGTTTAATATATTTAAATTGTTGTAACCCACCTAATGTTTGTTTTGGCTGCACCATATATTCAATAACAATAAAAAAAAATATATTAATCATTTCATAACTTTATGATAAATTATAAATTTTCAAATGTTTCTATGAAATTGAAATTGAATTCACTACATAATTTTAAATAATAAACTTCCTCTAGTTTTATTTAAAATTAAAAAGTAGATTAATTAATAAATATTATATTTTTAAAAACTATTGACACTTTTATTGGCGCTTGATTTATAATTTTTAATTTGAAACTTTTAAATAGAAGTTGATGCTTTGCTATCTTTTTATTTTTATTGATGTGTATTTTTTAGGTATCAGCCAACTGTTGGTTTTGGTCAGCTGTATTCCATGGTCGAGACACTATGTTTACTGAATTAATGGACTACATTAGTGCTTATGCTATGGTTTTATTTGCATTCTATACGATTGGTCATCGAATTCTATTGTACAGTAATCAAATTGTGAAAAATACATTTATGGTTATCTGTTCCCTTGCATTTATCTATCATTCGTTATATTTACTTACTACAGAATATGATTACAAGTATAACATGACGACAAATCTTCTCGTTGGTAAGTTTTGAAAACAATTAGCAATATTTTGTTCACATTTATTAACATTAAAAAATGCAGGCGCTGTAACAGGCACAGCCATGCTAATATGGGCAGTCTTAAATCGTCGCAGAATGGGCCATGGTAAATATTTGATATTTTATGTACTTGGCATGACATTGGCTTCATTACTAGAGCTAGCAGATTTTCCACCACTTCTGTGGACATTTGATGCTCATTCACTTTGGCATTTAGCTACAGCCCCGAACGCATATTTTATGTACAAGTAAGGCAATACAAACTTAAGGCTTGTAACTAAATAACTAAATAAGGACAAATTATAAATAATAGGTATTAATACTCAGGTATAATAAATATGCAGCACTGTCATGGTCAAAATATTTTTATATTCTTGTACCAAAATAAAATGTACATATCACCAAGACTGTAGGCTCTAAGTGAATATTTAAGTAAACTAGTCTACCATATTATAAATATTACACTTTTTTGAAATTGTCTGTAGTTTTTAATTGAAGATCAAGATAATGTAATAAGCAATTATAAATTATAATATCTAATAATATTATATTACAATAGTATTATGATATTTTCTTCACAGAATAATTTTTTTTAATTCTCAATACTATGTGATCACAATTTGCAGGTTTGCCATTGAAGACTGTAAACATCAGCGTCGAATGTTGCTGAAATGACAGTTTCTTGCACTGGGGATACCTCAGATACAAGACGAATAAGACTTGAATGATGAATTTAGTTTTCCTGACCGATACTAATCTTTACCTGACATGTTTAGGTATAAATAATTTATTACTACTTCCTGAATAGAGCTCACCATGATATTTAAATGAGGTATAGTGCAATAATTATTATATAATAATTATATGACTATTTCCTCATTTAAGTAATTTGTTTTATTTTTGTATACAAATTTTACCAAAATATGTTAACCCCCATCAAACTCAATTTATAGGTATAACGTTACATGACATGTTAGATGCTAAATACAAATGACATAAAACTATTTAACTATCGATCAAATATTTTACTCTTATGTTTATCGAGTCACCACAATACTACAACTTACCAAAAAATAACTACTACCTGTATCCATTACTACTTACTAGCTATTACTATATTTTTATGAATCTCACAAAAGTTACTCAGTTATTGTGATAAAATGTTAACAAATCTGTTATATAATTACATATTTAAGTTTCCTTGTACGTTTCATTGCCATGTGGTTGTTTTCTTTTGCCTATTTTTGTTGATGATTTTATGCATACTATTTAGTTATTGTTTTTATTTTGATATTAATTATCTGTTACATGTTTTATATTAAAGAATTATTGGCTTCCAACCAATTTATTTATATTGTACCTAAGATATCTACTTTACTAGTCTGTTTAGATTTTTATTATTACCTAAATGTGAAAATGTACTATTTATAAAGATATGAAATATTTTGTATTATAGAAAATTATGTTTTATTTTAAATTTAGTTTTCATATTAAAAAATCTGTTATATACACAGACTTTTTTTTACCACCTATATTTCTTTCTTATTGGTATTGACCAGGTATACTCAACGATAAATGCATTCTCCACGATTACTGTAAATATTGAAGATCAAAATTTAGTGGGAGGGACCGACTACATTTATTATTATTTTTTTTTTAATACTTGAAAAATACTTCAATAAAATGTATAGTACATAAATTATTATTAATATACATTTTAATATACATGCAATATTATGCATATTAGAATAAGCATGAGCATGGGTGGTGCAGTATATACAAATGCACCACCTGTAGTTGGCCATCTTTTGAACTGAGTAAATCAGTTAATCAGATGTAACAACACTTTCAACTACATTTAATTTGAATGTCTTAAAAATTGAAGGAGAGTATAATATTCTGAAACCACTACCAAATTTTAACCAGGAGTCTTCCACTATGGTAATTCATAACTGGCTAGATAAGTTAACTGAAAATGACTTGTCAAAAAGTTTCCCAAACATTTTTAAAACATTATCACAGTTTGTTACAATTCCGGTTACAAGTTGTAGCTGTGAAAGAGCCTTTTCAAAATTAAGTTTAGTCAAAAATAAAGGAGTCAGATGTCACAAGAACGTCTTGAGTCTTTATTGATGATATTTGTAGAGCAAGAAATGGCTACAAATTTAAATTTTGAAGATATAATTGAAGAATTTAAATCTTTAACTCCTGCCAAACGCTGTCTTGAACTTTAGTTTTCATACAGGTATTAACTATTAAGTGTAAATGTATGTTTCTCATAAATATAGAATTATAATGTATTTATACCACCGTGTTATTTTATAATAATTATCCCAGCAATTTGATTAAATCTCTATAAACAAATTATTTTTCATAAGAGTTTTTTTCATATCCGTACTAACTTTTTTGTTGTTTAAAATTGATTTAACCTCGATTTTCCAGCGAGCTGTTTTGGAAATCAGCTATGAAATATAATCAGGTATACTAAAAGTTCATAACTATAAAATGTCTTATAAGTATATAATAAACCTTATTATATAATTTACTGCTATAGAACTGAGGCTTAGCACGAGCATCTATTATTATTTATTAAGCTACATTTATCATATATAAATATATTGTAATGACATGCACACACATCATATTAAAGAAATTAAACTAAATTATTGAATAGTTGATTTAAACTAACCAAATTAAATTAGCTATTAGAAAAAGCCCTTAAAAATTTAAGATCGAAATATATTACATATTAAACGTGTATTTACAACAACAAAAAACGCACGCTGCAAAAAGAATCCATTTTTATCATTGTAAAATCAATATACATTCATCTTTCCGTCCAGAATCTAATAAACGTCCCAATGGCACTGCAGTATTATACCTATAATAAAGATCTAAACACAAAATACAAATTCTAATTAAAATATTATAATTTAATATACTATGCTTACAGCTATAGCTGGCATATTACCACTTAATGAACTCACTTACAGTAACACACAACGCTGTACCCGTCGTCTGTGAAATATTTGGTTTTTCTGTGGCGGCTTAGCACGTTATTGTGAAAATTGTGTTCGTATCAATTTCCGAGCTCTAACAAGCATATTCATACGTCACCAATATGGAAAACGAAGTCGTAGATTACGAATATTTCAATGTCAGCATTATAGACGTCGTCAATCAGCTAGGTATTAAAGCAGATCGAAGAGATGTACGACGACGACAAACCTGCAAGTTGCAACCGGCATCGATAGCACAGACACCACCGAAGACGTAATGGCCAATGGGCGAATTGTCGATTGAAATGGTCGACGCAGTGAAGACAGAATCGTGGGCTCGAAGCCGCCCGTGGGAGCAGAGTACTCCCAGAGGAAAGCAGGTGTGGTCTGTGAGGCTATTGTACCGGCAACACTGAGCGTAGAAGTTTCACGCCGTGGTTTGACGAGACGACTCGTCGCCATGGCGTGGAGAAGAGTGAAAAAAACCCGGCGTCTTCTATGCTGTTGTCGCCGACGGGAATAGCGGCCAGCACACCTCCCCACGGCCGATGAACGCCAGCCAAGACGGCGGCGACCCGGGGAGTGGTATGTGAAAGAGCACGATGGTGTGGCGGTAAGTCGCCCTGTAAGTTTTCGAGGTTAAGACGAGATCGCAGTCGACGGCGTCGGTCACCGACACGCGAGACCATCCGGCGGTCGGCGAGCTGCACCCCGCAGCGTCGGTCGTGCGAGAAGTGACAGACGACAACGACAATGGCGGCGGCGGCTAGCTGTGCCGTCGTGGGCAACGATTCCTCCCGTTGCGTACCTGCGACCGATGACTGCGTGCACGAAAACCACTCGGAACGGCAGCGACGGTGACTGCAAAGCACGAATGGCGGGTGAGAGAGAGCTAAAGCTAGGAACACGGACGTCAGCATCGTCGGACCAGCGGAAACGTACTCATAGAAAAGTAAGTAGATATATATGAACGTACTGTTTCAGGGTACGACGGCGCGCGACTCCTCGACAGAAGCTGCCGACGGGATGTCGGGGCGAAAATCACAGGGAGTATCAGGACTGCTGAGTGCTGACTCTCTCTATTTTTCGCCCGGTGGTAAGCCCCTCGGTAGCAGCCGATTCCGAAGCACCAATAGCAGCTCTTTGCGGTCGTCCAGTGTTTTTTGGTCACCGTTGACGTCGCCACAGAGTCGTCTTCAGCACCACACATCATCGTAGCGCACAACATCGCGCACTAGTCGCTCCCCGTTAATCGTCTCGTCGCCCGCGAGCTAACTAGACAACTAGTCGCCGCGACAGGTTGCGCCTTGGAAACCGTACCTTAACGCGCCAAACGCTGCACTCGTCCGCCCACGGGTTACCCTTAAAACGAATAGAAGTGACCGGTAGCCATTGATTTACACATAAACCTCGCCATCACATACCCCCCCCCCTACATGCTTTTGTAGTTTTGTGTCTTGTCTGGTGTTTTTTTTCATACTTTTTTTATGCCTATTGTTTTTCAAAATTTTTCTGTTGCTAAGCCACTTTAATGGCTAAAAAATACTTTTTGTTGTACATTTTTTTGAATAATATCATAATAATACTTGCATTTATTTTGCACGTTCATAATTACATTGTACGTACCTAGGTACATTGCTAATACAATTTCTACATTGTATATAACCTCTTTCGATACACTAAATATAACTAAAATTTTCACCAAAACAAAATATTGTTTCTTTTTTATGTATAAACTATAAAGAGTGTATTTTTATTTATCTCAACAGAATATATGGGCCCCAGTGCCCCACTTATCAATTTCAGATATGTTTATTATTGGGCATAACAATATCGAGTGGAAAACGAGACGCTGCACGTCGGGCCCGCTTTATAGTTATTCATTATAAATTAACATCTTAAAGCAAAAAATACAAATATAGGTAGGTAGGTATACCTGCTAGGTATACTCTTAAATAAACCCTTTGGTAATCAAATTTAAAATTTACATACAATTCAAACAGTTATACATCGAGCCCCATATACCCATATACTGGCCATTATACATTACGTTACCTGCTGGCTGCTATAGAGACTACATAAAGGTATATGTTATATTATGATGTATAGACTATAGGTAATATATAGAAGGTCAAATCGGACCATGTTCGAATATATTTAGAAAAACGTAAATGGATTGGCACGGGGATTGTAATAGATTTGAAATCTAGTTTTTGTGCTATATCTATTGCTATGGCAGGTGTAAAGAGATAGATTTTTATAAAATTCTATTTTATTTTTATTTTATTATACGCCTCGTACTGGGTGTTTATATTATTATTTTTTACAGTTAAATTCCCGTCGGATCGCAGAAATATTAACGTCGACATATTTAAATTTTATATTATGTTTTCTTGAATTCGGGTGGCATGATATGTTTATGCAATTATATGCGTATTATAAAATTTAAATATGTCAACAACAACTCGTACTCCACTATAGAAATTGAATTTAGGATTACCCCCGAGGATGACTATATTGTTCGTCCTTAACAAAAATACTTACATCTCGAATAATATTTAAATATTCTCTTATTGTGAGCAAAAATGTTATTATATTATTTTATAATATGTCCAAAGCCATTCTTGTTGCGATTTCACACAAAATTCTACCATCAACTATTAATTTAACAGATTAAGGTATTAGGATTCAAATGGTTTGAAGAAATTGCCAGACAATCTATTCGATGTTGCCTAGGTACCTATAAGTGTATTGTGATTGATGCAAAAAAACTAAAAGAAAATTCCGTCAACAAAATATTGCTGTTCTCGTTGTTTGAATGTCTAGTAGTATTTATAAACAAACGAAGTTTAATGATTCTGTTAACTAAACTAACATCCGAGAGACGATATTTTCAAAGTACTTTGTCTGATTTTTTGATAGGTAATAGCGGTGTGTACCTATATTTATAGTAGCCAGAAGGTATATGGTTATGCGACATTCGTGTAAATAATGCATATACATCGTGTAGGTACCAAGTTTTTTCAAAAACGTATTCTAGTTTGTTATTCTGTGCGGATTTGAAAACCGATCTTGGTTTTCATTCGCCATTTTTAAATTTCGATCAAAATCAGTTTTTCCATATTTTCTCGGTGCCTTACTGCGCCATACATAATTCGTATATTATCTATTCAATCAACGGAAGCTAAATGTAATAAAAGAACTCTATAACATTATACATTTTGATATCTGCTCTGAATAGTTTATTAGGTACTTAATATAGGTACCTAACCCACATTATTTTCGTACAAAATATATTTTAATATAGATAGATGAAAATGCTGCCGCACGTACCGAGACAAATATTATATTGGTATTAACACGAATTACGACTTTCGACTATGGCGAAACATGACACTGAAAACATGCACGGGTTATTCGAAGGTTATATAGGAACGAATTATAGGTACCTGCATGTATAGCTGGAGATAAAAATAAATGTAGACGTGATAATTATCATATCCCAATAATAATGGTGGTAGTTCAAATATTTGATTTATTACATCTACTTTACGTTTGTCTAATAACAATGTACCTATTATTATACCTACGATACGGATTATTTATGTAAATATATTGCTTGCCTATATTATATTAATATAGTAAACGGTCTGCCAAACCCAAACGTGTACAATATTAAAGGTTGGTTACCTAGGTTAGGTTTTTGTTTTAAGTATGAGAAAATCTGCGGAGAGCGTATAAAATGAAATTATATTTAAACTGTGTTCATTGTAATTTTTATGGGTATTTAGAGCCAAGAAAAAAACTTTTATTCCGATAACAGCACAATAACATGCAACGGGTGCAATGATAACTAGGATAACAGTGATAACAGGTGTAAGTACATAATAATAGACAAACAGTATTGGAAAATGGAGTTTGCGAACTACACCAGAATATTGTGTTGAATGAAAGGCGTTTTTGACGAGTATGGTACGGTTTATGACGCATATCATTAACAACAAGTACCTACCAAGCAATATAAACACAAACTTGCACGTTTTTTATTACAAATAAAAAACAACGCTGCGTTGCGCTTATGTGAGCGGTCAAGTGGGTTAGACAATTATATTCACTAATTATGGGTACACGCTGTTGTGATTACCCGCCACACAGTTTTTATGTGTCGTCAAGTCGACCGTTTTTGGTATACATATTATTATATGTCAGACATACCAGTGGAGCATTTGAGAGGAGGGTGGTGTTTTGGGGTTATGACACCTTCCTCGAGTCGTGTCGTATATAAAATAATTACACGAATTAAACTTTAATGAAATATTAATTTTATTTTTTAAATTATTATTACCAATATCTTGTTAATCATAACAAATGTAAAAAATGAATAAATATTTTTTAAAACCAGAGTTGTAGTCTGTATGTAAATCGTATATTATTCATAATAATTAACACTCCTTTACAAAAATCCAAGTCATGCCACTGCCAGGGACGTAGCCAGGATTTAATTAATTTTTTTTTTTTTTTTGGGTGGGGGGGGTTAATTAAAAGGTGGCCCACTGTTATAATTTAAGTATAAGGTCTTCGAGAACCTTTAGTTGATAGATTGATACCAACGCCAAGGTGTACACACATAACATCCATCGTCTACAAGTCTTAAAAAATATGTGATTAGAACTGGTATATTATTATCGGTTAGGTATAATTAGTAATCACAAATATGCAAACACATAAAATAAGCACGCATAATTTAATATAATATATCCTACATAATTTTCTAATATCTTGAATTCCTGCGGTGAAGAAATTACGGAGGTTGGATAATCGATAGAGTAACAGTAACCTACCACCACTGAATAACTATTACACATGGAACTAACGATCCATCGGTTAATAAAATATTTTCTTTCCATTCTTCTGTATTGTTCGATTATTTTACTAGGTAGGTATCTTCGACCTTAGTCCGTGTCTTCGACCTATCGAAATTTTGTTCACCGACATCTAGAACTTTCACACTTAAATATCTTTTTTTTTCTTTTTTTTTTTAAATTGATCTTAAGCCCGGCAACTATGGCCATTAACTGTCTTGTAGGTTTGTAGGTTTGTAGGTGGGAGGAACGGTAGGTTTTTGCACGTGTGTGTTTGTGTTTGGCAGAATTTTGATTGGACACCCGTAGGTTTCTGCCATGCAGGGGTGAGGGATGATGGCCTCTCTCTCCTGACAGATGTCTGCCCCGAGAAAAGTGCCGCCCGTGACCGGGGTTCGACGGTGCAAGTTGCAACCAACATCTTAGTCCACTCGGCCATTCCGTCCCCCCATTTAAATATCGTATTCATAATAAAACTGTCCGCAGTACAAATAATATTTATTTATCATAAAGTTTAAATAATTATTTAATATATTTAATAATTTATTTGAAAATCACTGGTATTGTAAAGACACTATTTTAATAGGTTTTGTTTGGATTTATTTTGATTTTTTTCTTATTTCATAGTTCCTGAGACGGTTTCCCATATTAAAATCACTCTTTTAAATTTTAAGCTGTTTTTTTTTTATAATGTATTATTTATATATATTTTTTTTTTTTAACTTTGTGGATACAATTAGTTTCAACAAATGTATTATATTATTACCAGTATATTGTGTTTCAATCTTATGTAATGTATTCATTATAGTACCTACACCTAATGCTTTAATATTATATAACTTGAATAATAAAAAAAAAAAACAAAGAAGCCGCGTGAGTGTTAAATCAGTACTTACCCTGTCTAGCTAGTGTTAGAGTTAAACCGTTTTAAAAATTAAATAATGTAGCTATAACTGTATACATTATTCGGGTGTTTAGAAATGAATGATGGGCTGAAATGTAATATATCTAAAACTTAAATGATTTTATCTAACAATGTAAATGAGATTTGTTAGCGTTCAGTTTTAATTAATATATAGGAGTCGATGGACTTTGCGGTTATTGATTACTTGAAATATTTTAATTTACTATCCTTTTTTAACCTTCTATATAATGCAAATCAGAACTTAAAAGTTAAATTATAGTATATATACATGCTTAAGCAAACTATGTTTGCTTAGTAGGGTAAATACCAAAATGTTGAGCAAAGATAGAGGAATTTGAAAACTTTGTGATATATACGCGTATGACTATTTGGAAGTTTATGTGTTTAAAAATCTTAATTAAAACTATGTACATTTATACATTATTCATATGCCACACAGTTCACGTTTCCTTATAATTAACTTACTTATTTACTTTTTAACTATAAATTAAAATATTTATCACAAGTGATTTAAGACCAAACTATACAGATACACAAATTAATAGGATATAGATACAGCTGTTTCACTTATTTCAACCGCTTCA